ATTTCAAATGATTTTCAACGGTCGCTTTGTCGCGTCCAGTGTACTAGACAGACTTTAGCTGTTGCGGCGCAGACACGGTGTTACTCGTCTATCGAGAAGAAACAAAGCAACCTCGGCGTCCGATCGCAGGCCTTCCGCTCCTTGAGTTCTCTCCAGCGCTGGAAAGCTTATCTGATATTTACACGGGTCCTACTTCTTGCCTTAAGCCTTGTTTTGTTCCGCAGACACTTTCCTCTTTAGTTTTTTTATCCGCCATCTCTATCTTTCTGTCGCTCGGCTCGGCTAATGTCCGTCCCATGCACTGAACGCTCTCTCCTCCACATCCTGAGTAGTTACGCCCCTTACTGCTGATTGGCTACAAGTTTGTTTTGCTATTCGGCCCGAATCGGTTTTCTAAAGTGTTTTTGAAAAATCGCTTACCCCACCTTTAAGCCATTATTCAACTAATCGCACATTTATATTAAATCAACTACTAATTCATAATGAGCTTTAATATATTCCCTGCTCAAGCACACACATAAAGTTTGCCACAAAGCACAGGCAAAAGTAGCCCAATGGTTATGAATGTATAGGAAAAGGAGACATTTTAATTATTTATTATTAATAAACTAATGTTTTCTTGTCGGCTGCGAGATGAAATTTACAGTGCTGACTCTCATCTCCACAATAGCCTGGACAAAATGCAACCTTGATTCAGATTACATAATCGGGGCGTATTTGATTTTCGTTTTGAATTGGTTCATTCAAATATAGACATTTCAAACTTTGTATAGATATATTTTTCTTGTACTGTATGTGAGACAGCCACACGCTGAGTTTTGGTTCTTTTTTTTGTTGACGCGCTCCAGTTCACGGAGACAGCATTATTTTACAAAAGCACAACGTTTTGTTGTTATTTTGAGTTTGCATAAAATCAGTTTCAAACTGATTTTAAGTGGTTTCATTATCAGGAAAAAATGCAAGTGGTCGCCTCCCTACCTTGCATGAGCAAAAACACTCAAATAT